GGAGGGAGGGAGGGAGACAATTGCATTTCCAGGAAAGATCCTTGGCATTTTCCTACCATCACGGCAAGAGATTTAGGGCTCATGAAAGTTCAGTCTCAGAGTTTAACAGAGAGAAGCTGAAACCAGACAGGGGTTCATCTGCTGGACGATGCACAGCAAATTAGAAAATGCAGCCCACCTCTGCTCACTGCTTCCCCCAGGCTGCTTCCCCCCCACCACCACCATGATGGAAAAGCCCTCACCTCCTAGGAGGGGGTCTCAGTATGGGGGGTCAACGCAGTGGGCCCCGGAAGGCTCGCCTGCCTCACTGATCCCTGCATAATCAGCGGTCGCTTTCTGACTTGAGGACGACATCTCTAAGGTCCCCCGGGTCAGTTGCCGGATGGACTCTGAGGACCTGAAGTTCTCTCTGTCCAGACTCTTCCCTGAGCTGGGCCTTTCCCTTCCCAGGACCAGGCCTGAGGCCTCTCTCCCTGGAGCCGGGACCCCGAGCCAGCAGCCTCCACCCTGGGGCAGTGTCCCTGGCCTCTCCCTGGGGCACGCCAGCTCAGTGGACCTCCTTTCTGGGTCAAGAAGCGGACAGGAGTGAGCTGAGGTCTGAAGCCAGCTGTCCCAGGTCACACAGCTGAAGGCTTGGAGGTGGGACTGGGCCCCGTGGACCAAGAACCGGGGTGGACCTGAGAGGAGTCGGGGGCGTTCTCGGGGGGAAGCAGAATCAGAAGTCAGCCTGCTGATGCCCAGGGCAGCGGGGGCAGGCCAGGGGGGTGTGGGTTTCCTAGGACATGCTCGGAAATGGCTCCACCTCCCACCTCAACTAGGCACCAGGGAGGCAGGAGGGAGGTTCACAGCCTCCACACATTTAGAGCCGTGTTCTCAAAGTCCGTCCCTCTCTCGTGAGGTGGCATCTTGGTTTGTTCTAGAGCTGCCCCTGGCCAGCATGGGCCAGCGTCTCCACCAACTTCCTGTGTGACCTCTGGCAGGCGAATGCCCCAAGTTCCAGGAGGCACAGGGAGAGTCCTGGGGGTCAGGCTGGCCTTGGGTGCTGGGCAGGGGCCCCGAGCACCTCCACCAGACTCCCTGGGTTCCCAGAGTCGGCGCCTCCACAGAAGAGGACCTGAGGAGGAGTATCTGCAGGAGAGGTCCTCAGAGCCTTCTGGAATGTTCTCCTACCTGGCTGATATCCAGGTGCTTCTCCAGGTTGTAGGAGTCATCCAGCTGCAGGACCTTCCAGAGGGCAGCCCCTTCCCGGCACTGCCTGGGGGGAGGGTGAACACAGAGAAGGGGGCTGGTGGCCCGCATCACCCCAAGGGGACAGCCACTCTGCCCTCCCCGCAGGCCCCCCTGCCCCCAGCCCTGGCTCCCACTCACTGATAGGTCAGGAGGACGCTGACATTCTTCCGCATGCCGAGAAGGTGGGACAGGTTCAGGGACGGGGGCAGGTTCCCCGGGGTGTCTGCAAACTGGGCATGGACAGGGAGAGACGGGGTGAGCGTGGTGGCCAGGCTGCCCGCTCCCCTGAGCCCACCCTGGCAGAGCAGGCCGCGGGGGAGCACCTCGGGGACTCTAGAACCAGGTCTAGCCCAAAACCTGAATGAGCCCCGGGCCCCTCCTGGCTGGGGCGATTCCCATGACTCTCGGGGAGGGTGGTGGGTTGGCCTGACCCTGGGAGAGAGCCCAGGCCAGCCCCCAGCTCACCACCAGAACGCACCCAGGCCCCGGGCTCAGAGTGGGAGGAGGGAGGGGGCCAGGTGTGAGTGGAGCCACGAGGCCCTTGTCTGGAGGCGCACGGGTTCTCCCCGTCCTGTCCCCTGGGCCTTCCTGTCTCTGTGCCCACTCTGCCCCCCTCTCTCCCTCTCGCCCCTCCTTCTCTGCCCACGCCTCCCTCCGCCGGCTCTGGGTCCCACCTGGTAGAGCTCCCCGCTCTCCCAGCTCCGGCACACCAGGGTCTGCACGTTGCCGCCCACCAGGAAGGTGAGGAAGACCAGGAGGATGAGGGGCGCCGCGAAGACGAAGCTGAAGCCCACCCCCCTGGGGAGGGCGAGAGGCAGGCTGAGGGGGCAGGGCGGCTGCCCAGGCAGCCCTCCGACCCAGCCACACCCCAGGGCCAGCACGGTCTGAGTGGACAGCAGGGCAGAGCCTGGTGGGGAGCTGGATGGGGGACTGGGCCTCCTGGGAGGTCCCTCCTGGTCCCACTGAACCCCACCTTGTTGTTGGGGTCCTGCTGGCCCTGGCAGCCTAGAGAAGGGACAGCTGTTGTGTGCACAGAGCCGGGTCTGCCTGGCACCTAGTGCCTGTGGAGGTGGCCCGATCCAGAACCCAGCCTTCAAAAGGGGTCACCAGGCATGGCTGGCCAGCAGGAGCAGCACCCCAGTGGGCAGTAAGGACCCTTGGGCCAGGTGCCACTGACTTGTAGGCTCTTTTGTGAGACTGCCACAGCCCCATCCAGGCTCTAAGACTCGGAGAATGAAACATGCGGTGGAATCAGCTCCCACGCTCCCAAGGCTGTCACCCTTGTGCAGTGAACAGCCTGCCCGACTGTATGCAGCAGCACCCTCTTAGTCAACAGCTAGTGTAGGGAAGGTGGAGAAATAGGACTCTGCCTTCTGGTGCCGGTGCTGCTGCCTGGATCCCGAGGGGCTGGTCTGAACCCAGTGGGAAGCACGCCCCCTGAGGACCACAGTTGTCCCTGGTGTGTGTGCACGGGGAAGTTTTCTGTCCATCCTTCCTGCTCTGGTCCAACCCCCTGATGCAGATGAGGACACCGAGGCCCATGGCTGGCCATTTGCCCAGGGCCTCCCAGGAAGTAGGGGCTTCTTACACCATGAGGAAGCGGGCTCCAGCCTCGCCCTTGGCTTCCGATTGGCTGGGGTCCTCTCTGGCAGACAGTCCCCAGATGCCCAGGCTGAGGCCCAGCAGGTTACAGGCCACCACGAGCAGGACCACGGAGCACAGCACGCAGCCCACCGTCCACCTGTCACAGAGGGGTTGGAACTCTGGAGGGGCTGGTACGGGACCCAAGGCTAGAGTGCAGAGGAGCGGGTGTGGACGCCTCCCGAAGCCCTGCTACTCAGGTCCCGGCACACAGCGAGGTAGAGATGCGCAGGCCCGGGGAGTCAGGGGTGGCGGGGGCTAGAGGTGGGGCTCCAGCCACAGAGAGGCCGGACACCCACCCTGCCCGGCCCCAGGCCCCTGGGTACCTGTAGGTCTCGTATCTCTGCGCCTCCTGCAGGTAGGGACGGCTGTTTTCTTCCAGCTCCTCCAGGGCCCGGCTCCAGCGGGGAGCTGCTTCCAATTCGGGGAACGCTTCAGCCAGTGTCCCCATGCCTTCTGGCTTCTGGGCCACGGCCTCCTTCAGATCTGCCCGAAGCCACAGGTCTCAGGGGATGCAGAGGGCACCCAGGGGCCAGGGAAGAACCCCTGGGACCTACCGAGGGCCCGCCAGGGAGGACAGCCCTGGTCACCACTGCCCCCCTCCTCTCCCCTGGAAGAGCCTGGCTCCCAGGGGCTCACCTTTGATCACCAGCTCCATCTGCATGGCCACCAGGATCGGGAGGCTGTTGAAGGTAGCGTTCTCCTGCAGGAACCAGGGGGGTTGTGCCTCCGACCCTCCAGCTGGTGTCCCAGCTTGGGGGTCCCAAGTCACAAGGCCTCAGAGGGCGGGCATCCCTCCTGGCTGCCCTCTGCTCGGGTCACAGTCCCTTGGTTCTCTTGGTCTCTGCAAAGCCCGGTCTGACGTATCACCCTTCTTCCGCAGAGACCCTGTCCTTCCACTCCCAGTCCCTTCCTAGACAACAGGTCACCTCAGCTATCCCCTCCTGTCCCGTCCATCCTGCACATGACTGCCAGCCCTGTCTCCAGATGTTCAGCTCCCGTCTGCCATTCTGCCTCAGCTCCCACTTCCTCCTTCCCAGAACCTCCGGCTCCAGCCACCTGTATGGCTGACTCACTGTTTCCCCAACTCCAGGTTCTAGGTCACAGGTGCTGACTCACGCACCCTCCCCCGGGGCTGTCTCCACCCAGGAGAGCCCGCCTGCCTGGCAGAGCTCAGCCAGGGGCTGGCTCACTGACCCCCAGCCCACCCCACCCCAGGCCTGCCTCCGCCAAGGACCAGCGTCATGAGCCCCCAGCCCAAGGTGACAGGGGTGGCCTCAAGTCTTAGGTTCCACTGGATTCCCACTTCAAAACAGGTAAACTGAGGTCCCCGTTTGTGAGTGCCCAGGCAGGAAGAGGAGTCGGGGGGCCCAAGTGGGCGCTCACCTCCTGGACCATGTTGGAGAAGTTGGCCTCGGGGACACCCTTCAGGCGATGCAAGACATTGTCCACAGGGGGCACCTGCAAAGGGGCGAGATGTCCAGGGAACAGCGGGAGGAAGGGGTGGGTGCCTTTCTGAGCCCTCGGGTGTCACGTGGGGACTGCTTCAGCCCAGCTGCCAGAGCCAGTGTGCGTGAAGTCCGAGGCACCATGTGTGTCCTGGGGAGAGCTCTGACTCGCTGCCAAGGTGAAGGTCATTGGCCTTGGGCTCTAGTGCTCAGGAGGGGAAGGAGCAGCCTGGGAGGGGACCAGGGCAGTGGGCCTCAGGAAACCCCAGGCCATGAGGATGCTGGAGGATCCCTTCAGAGCGCCAAGCCTCTGCCCCTGGCCTGCACCTGGGTGAAGTCAGCGGCCAGCTCCAGGGCTCGGGCCCGGTCCTGGGTGTCTGTGCAGTCCTTCCCGCACCCAGGCTGCTGCAGCAGGGTGAGCAGGCGGTCTCGGTGCTTCTCAAGAGCCAGCCCCAGCTGCTGCTGTCCCTCCTGCAGTTCCACCAAGGTGCTGTTCAGGGCCTGGAGCTGGTCCATGGAGACCTGCAGGGCTGAGACCCGCACCTGGCCTGAGCTGACGCCACAGCTCCTGGCCTCCGCAGCAGCAGCTCTGCAAGAGGAAGGACAGTCCTCCCCTCTGGCCAAAGGGACCTGTGGTCATTGACCTGTCAGGTCACAGTGGAAACTGCCCCAGGGCACGTTAAACCAGGAAGTGGGCAGAGATGCCCGAGGACACGGGGATCTGGGATGATGGGATGGGGACATCCTGGGTGGGGTAGGCAGCTGGAAATTCAGGGCCGGGTGAGGGTGGTCCTGCCCGGGTGGTCATCTGCTGGGCCCCACCCCATGCAAGACACTGGCCCAGCTCACCCTGGCCCAGGCTGTGTACTGAGGCCAGCACCGAGTACATGGTGCTCCTGAGCTGGCTGTGAATGGTGGGGCCGATGCTCTCACCAATCCCTGGGGAACACAGGGCATGGGGCATTCTCAGAGCTGGCCCCCAGGAGCTGAGGGTGACCCTACCCCCACCCCAATCATGCTCCCAGGTCCCAGCCCCGGCTCTGCAGGGTGCTGCTGGCTTTTCCGCCCCACAGCAGGGGGCCTGCTGTGCTGGGAAGCCAGCTGGGCCAAGCCGCTGTGACACGGTGTACCAGGAGAAGGCCAAGATTAGGGCCCCGGGGCCAGCTGACGCCACTCTCACCGTCCAGCTCCTTCAAGACTTGCTCCTGGGGCACAGAGAACTGCTTAGCCACGGCCTCGAGCTCCTAGACAAACACAAGGCTGTAAGCCACCTTTCCTGTCCCTTGGCAGCCCCTTCTCTCCTGGGGACAGCACAGGGGCAGTTACTCATGTCAGCGACTCCGCAGCAGGGGGTGGCCACGTGTGCTGAGGAAGGGCACCTTTTTCCCTTTGCAGGCTATGAACACGGGGCCCCCCCTCTGCTCTGTCCTGCCTGGGCCTGGTGCTCAGGAGGCACCTGGGGACAGGGGCATTACTTGGTGCTCACCCCGGGAACATCGGAGACCAGGCCCCGGAGGCTGCGCAGTGTCTCAGGAACAGCTTCAACGCTGGGCCCCATCTGCTCATGTGTGCGTTGGTTGGTGACAAAAGCACAGACCACACCAGCCCTGTGGGAGGAAGGCGAGGAGGAAAGGTTGGCGGGGCATCCGAGGGTCTGGGCCCCGGCCGGCCCTCCCTCCCGCCTAGCCAGGGCCGCTCCTCACAGCAATATGATGGTGGTCAGCAGCAGGAAGGCCATGAGTGTGCCACGCTCACAGGCCATGGCCTTGTGCTCAGTTTTCACACGGCCGCCACAGCGCCGGCGACAGCGGCAACAGCAGAAGCAGAGGCCGGTCGTGGGCACTGCCACGAGGTAGAGGCCCGCGGTCACTGCGCACACCACGTAGCCCGCCTCGTACCGCACCACCTGGCGGGGCAGCAACGCGTCAGGCGGTCCCGACCCCCCTCCCAGCCTGGCTTCCCCGGATGCAGAGGGAAGCGAGGGTGGAGGGCGTGTCTCTCTTCTTGGTGGTCAATGCAAGGAGGACACGGTGTCCCTCCCGGCTACCATCTTACAGAGTTCAGGGAGTTTCCGTCTTGCTGCAGAGCTGCGGCTGGAACCCAGGCCTGCCACTGCAGGACCCCTGGAAAGGGGGAGGGATGACCGAGACCCCACCTTGGCCAGCACCGGGCAGAGGGGACTGAGCTGCCAGGCGACCCCTCCTGCTCAGCCCCAGGCCCCACTCCAGCAGGTCCGCCTGGGTTCTCACCTCATCCACCTTCAAGGAGGACGGCTCATTGAGCAGGGCCTTTACCAACTCTGTGGGGAAAGAGCCAAGCTGAAAGATCGGGGACAGCCACTGCCCTGGCCCTGCGTCACCCCTCCCCACTGCCAGGCCCAGTGGGATCTTTGAGGCCGTCCTGCTGGGCCTCAGCGCTGCCCCAGCGGAGTCCCTCCGGGCAGGTTCTGGACCTGGAGGGGAGGCGGAAGGCCAGAAGGGGCCTGGCCTAGCAGCCCTCCCCTCCAGGTCCCACCCCACCCCTGGCCCTCTCAACTCCAGGTGCCCCCAGACTCAGAGAATGTGCCAGGCTAATGTCATGTGCTTCTACCTCAAGGTCCTCCAGTTAGAGGAGAAACAGGCTGGGAGAGGGAAAGGGGCTGGCCCAAGGTCACACCAGAAGGTTCTGGAACTTTTTCCTAGGGTACCCCGCCCCCCCCCCAGGACTTCTGGGAGGAAGAAAGCTGACGGGATGCGGGGGGCCCTGTCCTCCCCTCCACGTGCCTATGGACAGGGAGGCTGCTGGGGACCAGCGGCCAGAGGTGCACCAGGGGAGGGGAGGGGAGGGGCGCACTCACCCGAAGGGAAGGGGTTGAGCTGCACCACGGACAGGAAGCGGCGCACCATGCCGTAAAGGGGGTCCAGGGGCCCCGGCGCCCTGACTCGGGGGGCCAGCCAACGGGTCCTGGCCGCTGGGGAGAATGCCAGGCGCTGCGAGGGGCCGAGCGATGAGCAGTCGGTGGCCACCGGGGGCGGCACACTCAGCGCCAGCCCCAGGCCCAGCCCCAGCAGCAGCGCCAGGAGGCCTGGCGCGCGCATCGTGGGGTCGGGCAGGCGGGCAGCGGGGTAGGCAGGTCCGTCTCAAGCGGCGGAGTGTGCAGGCAACCCCGGGGCAGGCTGTGCATCCTTCGGCAGCCTTCCTCCCTCTGTCCCTGCAGCTCTCAAACCGGCCCGACAGGTTTGGGCTCCGGAGCTACCTGGGCACTGGGAGCTGGAGCGTAGGTCGGCAGGGGCGGAGGCCGGGGGTAGGGGGCAGGGCCTGAGCCTGATGCCTTGGGCGGTGGGAGGGAAACCTGGGTTCCCCTCCCTCTCCAGATGCTGGGCCAGGGTTCCGTGGGAGCAAGTTCAGACGGCAGGTGGGTGCCTCTGGACTATCTGGGGTGGCCCAATTTCAATCTGGTAAAACACAGCCACCCAGTGCAGCCTGCCCCAGGGGGTCACAAGACCAGCCGCACAGGCCAGGGAACCGGCTCACTTTCCCTGATTCCCCTGGGGCCTGCTCTGTCCACAGGGGTCATGCCCAGACATCACTGCCAGGCCAACCTGGAACAGAGGGGCACCTGACAGGCAGGGTAGTCCCAGTGTGTGTGTGGGGGCAAACCTAGTAAGGGTGTGCCCTCTGCCCAGCCTTGCCCCACCCAGTTACAGAAAGAACTGATCCAGGAGATGCCCAGGGATGTGTCTCCACAGGTCTCCGTTGTGTACACGGCTTTTGCCTGGTGTCCAGGAAGTTGCCGGTGGCTGATCAGGTCCTGGGGGAAATCTTGCTGAATGGATGGAGGATGTCCTGGTGGCAATGTTCACACCAGAATCAGTCCCAAAGGCCACCCTGAGGAGCTGACAAGAGGAGCATCTCCCACGACACACTGGGCACTCTTCAGAGTCAACCACGTACAGATGTCCCTGTTGACACGAAACTCGAAGCGTTAATACATAACAAATAGCAGGTTCCGGAACAGGACAGGGCACAGGGCCATAGAACATGATCGTCTCTGGGAGAATCACGAGCGAATCTTGCTCATCCGTGTGTCCTCCTTTCTGTGCATTGAGTGCATGTGACTTGTGTTTAGAGAAGTAATAGGGGTTTGTGAGGTTTCATGCAAGTCCCTCCCCTGTCAGGAGCCCTGGGGGAGGGGATGGCTTGGTGGTTTGGGTGAACTTGGGACCCCCTCCGCAAATTCAGTCCAGGGCAGTAGCTCAGCACTGTTCTATGAGATGGGTAAGAGGCATGGGGACTGGGGACCGCCCTTGATGGAGCTAGTGATGAAGAGGGGACTTAAGTTTGGTGTAGGGCTGGGCCGGCTTCGTGTTCTGGAGCCTTGCTGTTGCTTCCCATCGCAGTTTTCTCAGAGCTGGGGAACAAGGGTGACCAGGCATTGGAGTCCACTTAATAACGGGGTGCAGAAGGGAAATGGGACCTCATCAAAGGGTGATTCAGAGATGAGGATCAGCTCTGTGGTCACACACTGGGGTGCCCTGGCACCTGGTGGAGTGGGAGCAGGCTGTGGGCTGGGGAGGTTCCTGTCCCGACTCTTCCCCTGCAGGCCTCGCCCTGGTGGGTAGAGGGAGGCCCTAGCCACCTTGCCCCTGCCCCACAGCCTTCTCCCAAGACTCACAGGATCTGTGCTAGGGGCTCCTGCCTCGCGGAGGCTGCCCGGCCTCTCCAGGGCCGGTCTGCTTCTCCTGACTCCCTCCTGCTCCAGTTCAATCAGTTAGAAAGAATGTCTCCCTGGCGATCACTTTCTAACTTTAGCCCCGTCACCAGCAGGATGGAAATAGCTCCTGCCCGGCTCGATATCATCCACCTATGGGGAAATTAGTAACTGCCATGGAGGCTCTCTGTATTTTCTGCACACTAGTGGCCCAGAGGACCAAAATCGGGGGGAGGACCAAAATCCTCAAGGACCTGGGAAATAAGCAGATCCTCTCTATTTACTGTCTCCCCTCATTATTATAATTAACCCTGTTACCGGCTGTTGCTACTGTTTTCATAGAATGTCTCTAATTGTACTTGGAAGGTAAGATGGCCCAAAGAAGAATCACAATCACCCCAAGCCTCTTCCCCGGCCTGGGGGCACTAAGGTTGATGAAGACACCAAATTCACCTGTTTGACAGGTGGAGAAATTGAGGCCTGGATAAAGAGGTTTTCCTGAGTCAGAGGCCAGGCCAGGAGTCAACGCCCTAGGTCTCCTTCCTGAGCTGGATCCTGATAGAACAACCCATCATCAGATTCACTGGTCAGCCCTGCCTCCTCCATCCCCAGCCTGGGAGAGCAGGTGGGCTCAGGCCCAACGATGGTGAGGCTGCTAAAATTGAATGTTACATTAGCCTGAAGTTGAACAAAGACCATCCAACAAAAGCCTATCCTATAACAGTGTTGGAAGTTTCCAGCAATTTCTCGGAATCTATACCACGGTGTCCTAGGTCTACTTGCACATCGCCGTGAAATTGGAAAACCATTAAGTCCATTAAGTCTGGCCACTGTAAGTAAGAGACCATCTGCACAGAGATATTTTATCCTGGTTGGAGAATGGAGAAGTGCATGTAGGTCAAGAATAGATAGGAAAGCCCCGAAACGAAAGTTCTGTGCGTGCTGGGTGAGCCCGGTGAGGAATGGGTGGCCTCGGGTGGGATGGAAAGGGAAAAGACTCTTCAGTGAGTGGCCTGTCCCTGGGAATGTCCTCCTGAGCCTCACCAAGCAGTAAGGATGGGGCGAGGCCCAAAGAGAGGCCACATCCAGCCCGTGAGGTTTCCAGCAAAGAGCTGAGAGTTCCTGTGCCAACCACTGCAGGCCCCAAGAGGCTCCGCGGGGCTGCTGGGTGTGGTCCAGGGTGTGGGGTCAGAGTTGGGAGGCAGGACCTAGGCAGACAGAGATGACTGTGCTCTGGTTCCCTGGGGCAGCCTGAGCTTCTAGAAGCAGCAGCCTAGCACCAACTAGAGAGATCCTCCAGAAAGACTTGCTGTCGGAAGCTTCAGGTCTCACAGCCCAGCCTACTGGGTGGGCCCTGCACCCTCTGTGTAGCCTGGCGAGTCCCTAGGGACCAGATAGTCTCCATGTCCACAAGACTTGCTTGTCTCTGTATCGAATGGGATTGACAGCATTTTCTGGCCAGAGCCAGGTAACCTGGTTTGCAGAACCTCAAACTTCCCAGAAGCATTGTGGGGACTCCCTCTGGGATTCTGACTTAGACAGATAATGGACACCTGTTGAAGATGAGTCATGTCATCAGTGCTCTTCTAATATAGTCTCAGTTCCATTTCAGTTGGTGTAATGAATTACCCGAGGCTGGATAATTTATAAAGAAAAGAAGTTTATTTAGGTCCAAGAGCATGGTACCGGCTTCTCATGGCGGATGGAGCCACAATGGTGGGCGTGTGTGCGTAAGGGATTGTATGTCGAGACAGGAAGCCAGAGAGCGGGAGGGGCTGGTCTTGCTCCTTTATAACAACATGCCCTCAACTAACTTCCTCCGCCAGACCAGCATTAAACTCTTCCGAGGGCCATGTCCCCAACGACCTAGTCACTTTCCACTAGTCACCTCTTAAATACAACATCACCATGCTGGGGACCAAGCGCCCAGGAACCCCTAGGGTTCACTCAAGCCTTCCAAACCAGAGCCGCATCTCTGACCCAGTCTCTTCCCCTCCTGTTAGGGCCAGGAAAGTGGTTGGTGGCCCCCTTTTGAGGTGGGGCTCATGGCAGCAGGCACCTCCCAGGCCCTCGAGCTCTGTCTGACCCTGACACCCTGGTGCCCAGGAGCTCCCCACCAAGTGTCAGAAAGACAGCTCTTACCAGGCGGCCAGGAAGAAGTAGTCCACTCCCGAGTCTTGGTGTGTCCTGGGAGGACACAGGACATGGCAACAGTGGCTGGGGGGCAGGGGGCTAGGCCTGAAGGCGGCTCATCCAGCCTTAGGAGTCTGGCCGAGCAGGGCAGCGGGCTGGCCAGGCGAGACCTGGAGTCTGGCGGAAGCTTCTGGTGGCACCACCTGCTCTGGGTTGGAGCCCGTTTCTGCTCAGCACCCAGAAAGCATCTCATCAGAACGGCGGGCTACATGGAACCGGGTGGAAGGGCGCGAGGTCCTGTGGCAGAAAGAATCCTGACCGACCAGAAGGCTGGGCCCAGACACAACTGGGGCAGGTGGCCCCAGAAGGTGGCAGCCAGTTCAGGGACTGCGGGTTCATAACCGCTCGTGGAAGCAAAGAGACTGTCACGGGTGAGCCGATCACAGGTGACGCCAGTCACTAGTGCAGACCCCTAAGGCGCTTGGTAATGCCAGGCGGCCGAGAGGTCGGAGGTCTGGTGGCAGACCCTGCCCTGCTGACCACAGTGGGCTCTCTCTAGAGAAGCCTCGGCCAGCTGAGGCAGGGTATGGGGCCTCCAGGCAGGACCAAGGGTGTCCGGCCTTGGGGGGCCACCCAGGGCCAGCAGGGGAACAGGGAGGTTGGGGAAACAGCCAACGTGATCTGGTCTCCCACACGAGAGGGAGCCGGGAGACTTGTCCCCCTGTCTCCTCCTTCTGTTCTCTGTCCCTGTACAGAACTGGCCACCTGAGCCTGGCTCATGGCCAGAGCAGGACAGGACACACCCAGCCCTCTCAGGGTCCTCTCCCCACGGCATCCCTTCTCCCATGCCTCTGGTGCCCCCTACAGGCTGAGGGTGGGGCTGCAAGTGCCTGGGTCACCGGGACGGTAGGAAAGTGACACCTGAGCCAGGGCCAGGCATTCCTGCTCATTTAAATACAAACTTCACAAAATGTAAACTGTGGACATGTCCCCTACAAGCAACCGTGTGTGAGTGTGCGGTGTCCCCCAAACCCAAGGGAGTGACATAAAGCGGTGAGGGGCTGCTGGATCTCATGGCCTCCTCCAAAGGCAGGCCAGCTGACAAGGACGGGGTGACGGCACAGCTACTTGTGCCCCTAGGGGCTCCTCTTCCTGGTGACATGCAAGTCCCCTGTGGCTTCACTTTGGGGATGATCTTTTGGGGTTGGAGAGACGCAAGGGAAAGGTCCCCTGAGCAGGACATTGCCAGCAGCCAGCAGGGCAGGACAGGGCAAGAGCAGAGAGAGGCCGAGGAAGGGGCCCAGGGCTCCCAGCCTGCTACCCGTGAACCACCTCAAGATGCAGGTGGCATCCCAGAGTCCCCGCAGGAAACCTTCGGGGGGTGGGTCCGGGCATTTGTGGGTTGTGTGCTCCGTGGGGGTTCAGGTGGGCCAGGAGGACCGAGGGCCAGGGCACCCCAGGTCCCTGTCACAGGAACAGCCCCGGAGGGCTAGGCCCACTCACCTCCCTCAGGCCTGCAGCTTCTTGTGGTCACCTGTACCCCACCTTCCCAGCCCCACAGCAGGCAGCGAGGGCCGGGCAGTGGGTGGCCAGGAGCAGGCTGGCTGTGGTGGCCCCAGCTCGTCTCGGGAAGCCTTCAGGGAGCTTTGGGCCAGCTGGGCCCTGGGGACACCCCTTGTCCCCTGCAGGAGTGTAGATGCAGAAAACTCCCTGCCTGCTTCTGGGTGGCCTGTGGTGCCCTGGGGGACCGCTGAGGGCCAGTGACACACCGTGGAGCTCCTAGGGAGGGACTCACGTGCCCGCAGGGAACAGGCCAGGTCACTGACCCAAGAGGTTCACTGCAGTGAGGGCCTCCCGCTTCCGCCAATGGTTATGCCCAGCGCAGAGGACAGTGGAGGAAGGACTTCAGTCCTGGGACAGTGGAGTGGTGACATACAAGTTTGAAGCCAGCCTCAGCAAGACCCTGTCTCAAAATGGGAAATAAAAACGACTGGGGGTGTGGCTCAGAGGTGAAGCCCCTCTGGGTTCAGTCCCCAGGACACGCGGGAATGGGGTAATGTGATGCAAGCTTCCGCTCCCAGGGACATCATTCCTGAGGGTGGAAGTCACTCACTG